AAGTAGAAATTCAGGTCTGTCTGGTTCTGGAGCCCACACCACCCAAGAGCTAGTATTGAAAACTGAGATGTCAACATTCCTCAGCTATTGTCCCCTTTACCTAACATCCAGTTTGGGAATCTAAAGAAACAGGTAATTACTGATTAAATAAAAAGTCTAAGATAAATGTAAAGTCCAAAAGTTTTGTAAATGGGAGATCACTGGTTACTACTCTAACAATTCCTGTCCTTAGTTTCCTCATTTATATATGGAGGATTTGGACCAGATAAGATCTAAGACTGTCAGTCCATTGCTTAATTCTACTACCCATATATTCTCAATTCTGGATTCCTAGGCAAAAAATATACTACAAGTAAGAAAGATATATTTACCTGAAAACTAATGACAGTTCTGTTATTATTTAGGTTTGGGACACATTGGCCAATGATAAAGAATATGGATGATGTGTGATGGAAAACTAGGGTCAACAAAGGAAAAAATATCTTTGGCAGGTTTTTATAATCCTCTTCGGGGTCCTCTAGACAGTTCTAATGCCCAGCATCTCTTCTGTTGTACATTCTTAGAGCCATGCCCTTGAGACCTTACTCTGAACCTCCTGGAACAATCAGAAACGGACTTATTACTCAGGAGTGACAAATCCTTTGGATGAGTTCTGACAGACTGTCACCCACTGCAGACGTTACTAACTGATCACTGCACTCTTTCTCTTTGAACCTTGGCTCAGCCTTAGGATTATTCACTGCACAATGCCACAAGAGAGACACTATCAACTGATTGGAGCTGATGAAAAAAACAAAAAACACAACAAAACATATATGTGTGTTAAACTAATTCTTCTTTTTAAAAAACTGGAGAAAACTAACATCCTATTGGAACTTTCTTCTCAGAACAAGAGATTCTTGAAAACATAAAAAGATGCGAAGTCCTTTGTCAGTGACTAATGATGGAATTTCAGACCAGAGGAAAAACAAGTAGTGGGGATTATTTAAACAAAGGCAAGGCGGGGCGCCTGGGTGGCACAGTCGGTTAAGCGTCCGACTTCAGCCAGGTCACTATCTCGCGGTCCGTGGGTTCGAGCCCGCGTCGGGCTCCAGGCTGATGGCTCAGAGCCTGGAGCCTGTTTCCGATTCTGTGTCTCCCTCTCTCTCTGCCCCTCCCCCGTTCATGCTCTGTCTCTCTCTGTCCCAAAAATAAATAAAAAACGTTGAAAAAATAAAAAATAAAAAAATAAACAAAGGCAAGGGGATGAGTTTTGTGATAATACTCAAAAGACAGCACAGAATTTGTTCTCTGAAAGAATGAGATCTTCACACTGACTTTTCAGATAAAAAATGGAAGGTATACAAGTATAAGACACAGTGATGATTTTTAATAAATACTATTTCACAACAAAACTAATTCTGTTTTTTCTTAGAGAGAGAGAGGGTGTGCATGCATGCAAGTGGAGGAGGGATAGAGGGAGAGAGAGAGAGAGAGGGAGAGAGAGAGGGAAAGAATCTCTTTTTTTTTGAAGATATAACAATCCTTTTTAAAATTTTTTTAATGTTTATTTATTTTTGAGAGAGAGAGACAGGCCATGAGTGGGGAAGGGGCAGAGAGAGAGGGAGACACAGAATCTGAAGCAGGCTCCAGGCTCTGAGCTGTCAGCACAGAGCCCGACGGGGGACTCGAACTCACGGATGGCGAGATCATGACCTGAGCTGAAGTCAGACGCTTAACTGACTGAGCCAACCAGGCATCCCAAGAGAGAGAGAATCTTAAGCAGACTCCGCACTAGGTGCAGAGCCCAATGGGGGGCTCAACCTCATGACCATGAGATCATGACCTGAGCCAAAATCAAGAGTTAGTACTCAACAGACGGAGCGACCCAGGTGCCCCATAACAAACCTAATTCTTATCTGAGTCATAGAAAGAGAGTTTGAAGAAAACTTAGAAAGACCAGGACTGGATCCCTGGATCCCACCTGAAACCTGGGTGGGGGTTGCTCATGCACATGCAATCTTGGCACTAATTATTGTGTCGTGAGTCTTATCCCGCTGAGGAACATCTCTAGTACTAGTAAATTCTTCATGTGCTGAGTGCTGGTATGTTCTATTCACTGGTGTGAGTTCTGTCTGAGCAATACAGAGTAAGTGTGAGTTGCCCTCATTCCACATCCTCTCCTCTCTAGGTAAAATATATCTTTTGAAGAAACCATCCTCTTTCCTTTCCCTCCTTACCTCACATCACCCTGTTTACCTGCTTTTTACTAGTGTGTTCTCTGGCATATCAGTAGAGAGTTCTTTGACAATACTCTCTGTGACCATAGAGTCTTGTGATGGCAGCAAGTTCCTGGATCCCTGGTTTCATATCTGCCATGTTTAGCACGGTATTGGACACATAGCAGAATCCACTGTTAGGTACAAAATTGAATTAGCTAACTGTGCTCTGATTCGCTTCTGTTTGCTAAACTTATTATCCATTATCTGAGTAAAACTTTCTTCCCGCTCTCCTCATTAGTAAATGGAAGTGTTTGGAAAATGGCAAAAGGACAAAATAACGTTATAAAATAAACATCTATTATCTGCTGGCCATCGTGTTGGGTACTTTATACAGTAATTTAATACATTTCTCTAAAGCCTTTGTGATGTGGAGAATATTCTCCCACATGACACAAAGAAATGGAGGTCTTGGAATGTAGGGAACTTATCTGAGGCCATACAGCAAGTTAATGGCAGAAGGCATTTGATGTTCCCACCCCTTCTCACTTAGATTGAGTGCCTGTGCAATGTGCTCCCACAGCAGAGGACTTTTTCTATCCCTATGACATCATATGTGATTGCTTATTTACTATCCGTCTCCCCTGCCATGGGGAACCATCTCTAATTGGCTCACATTTGTATCCACAGTGGGAGACTAATAACTATCTGTTGGTGAAATAAATCAAAATCCCAAGACTTCATTGCAAACGCTTTGCCAAAAAAATTCTGTGACTGTTCTCATGTATTACCTACTAAATGGTCGTCATCTTCAATTTCAGACACTGAAACACTAAGAACATTAAAAGTTTAGAGAACAGTCAGGCCCTGAGCCCATGACCAACCTTCGTCTCCTCTCTGTTCCCACCAGGCTCTGCTGAGACATGACTGACAAGCACTTACATCTCCAGCATTCACAGCAATTATGTCTTGGAATAGCGGGAGAAAAGAGCCATTGTCAAGGATCGTGGGTGCTCCTCCCTCTCTACGAATAACAGATTTTGTTTGTCATTCCACATGGCCACACCTAGGAGGTACTGTGTACAAAATATAGTTCTGGGATTAGAGGACTCAGATTCAAACCTTGGTTCTGCCAGTTACCAGTTGTATGACATTGAACAGATTCGTTTATCCCCCCGAGACTCAAGTTGCCTATTTGTACAGTGGGAATTCAAATGATATCTCCTGCATAGAATTGTTAGGATTAAATGAGATAATGCATGAAAAGTACTCAGGACAATGTTGGCTACACTGAAAACATTCAGTGCCAGCTGGTAGTATGGGCGACAGCAACAGCAATGCTTCCTGCCCTCAGCTCCCCATTTCTCTCCCAGTAGCAGCAAGAACAGCATCTGTGAGGATTCTGTCCACACCATTGCTGTCTTGGAGCCCCATGTCCCTTGGAGCTGTGTACCATTGAGCCAAAGATTCTGATGGAATGAGTGAATCTTGATTGTTTAATTTTGTTATCAAGTTGACACATGACATCAGTCTTTGAGAAATAACTTGATGATTTTGTTGTTTATTGCTTGCTACAATAACACGATTTCAGGTAAAGGTTACAGAAGAATCGTTTCATTGTGTTCTTCTCAGAAAGTAAAATCCACCACAGGACAGATAGGAAGCAGGTCAAGTCGGTGTTCCTCTTTTCCGCACAACCTGGGAAGAAAAAATAGCATCTTATGCGGCACAAGAATGTGAAATAGTGTAACTTGGGCGATGGGAAGTCCTGTGCGCAGTAGAGCACCCAGGTGGCTCAGGCAGTTAAGCATCCACCTTCAACTCAGGTCATGATCTCGCGGTCTGTGAGTTCGAGCCCCGCGTCGGGCTCTGTGCTGACAGCTCAGAGCCTGGGGCCTGCTTCGGTTTCTGTGTCTCCCTCTCTCTGTGCCCCTACCCCGCTTGTGCTCTGTCTGACTCTCTGTCTCGCAAAAATAAACACACATTAACAATTTTTTTAAATAAATAAATAAATAAATAAATAAATAAATAAATAAACTGTGCGTGGTAACTATGTTGTGCTTCTTGTAAATCCAAACCTACTTTCTGTCCAGGTCTCTCTTCCCCGACACTTGAACATCATTTTGTTCCTGAAGTTTGTGTATGAGTCTTACATAAACTGCGGAGGAGAGGGCATCCTTTACATATCTTTGTGAAATCACAAATATATCGCTTTGCATTTATGTACATGTTGTTGCAGTAAGACTCATAGAATGGGTTTACTGAGGGGGCGTCTGGGTGGCTCAGTCAGGTAAGCCTCAGACTCTTGATTTTAGCTCAGGTCATGATCTCACGGTTTGTGAGTTTGAGCCCCATGTCAGGCCCTGCACTGACAGTGTGGAGCCTGCTTGGGATCCTCTCTCTCTCTGCCCGTCCCCCACCTTCTCTCTCTCTCTCTCTCTCTCTCAGCCCTGTCTGCCCATCCTAACCCCTCCTCTTGTCAATATTCAGACTTTCAATCGCCTCTCTGTTCTGGTCCAGACAGCAGATTGCGGCGGGAAAAAGGCGGAAGAGAAAGAAGAAAGGCTACTCAGAAAGCTTGAACAGTGAGAGAAGGTGCTACCACAAACACACCCAGAGAGACGTTAGAGGATGAAGGTGGGGTTTGAGGTCCAAGGCACATGGGACGAACCAGAAATAGACACTGAAGCATGAGAAGGGAGAAGCCCCGGTGGACCAAACCGGCTACAAATACATTTGGCATTTGACTGAAATAAGCAGGTATTACCTTTGGCGGGTTTTACTTTGTATTTCTCAAGCAGCCTAGCATTTGGCTGCCACTTTGGGGCCCTGAGAGGAGGGAAAAAGAAACAAAAACACATAGAAAAATTTAAGACATTATTATTTAAATTTGGAGAAGCATGTCCCCTTGAATTTTGAAAAGAAAAACGAAAGCTATACAGGGAGACAATGAACACCGTTTCTTCAAGTGCCTTTTATGAACTGCCAGTGAATTCATCCCTCCCTTTCCATGGCCTCAATGTACACACTCACTCAAGTAAATGCCAGCTGTTAAGAACCTCTGATTACGTTAAACGTATTTTTTAAGCTAACGATTTGCACCACGCACACACACAACATTCCCACAAAGCACCCATTTGGACAAAGTAGAGGGCTGTCGAAAGCTGCGTGCGAGTCCGTGTCTGTGAGGATGCAGGAAGGGCACAAGTGGTGCCAGTCGTGTGTGCGCGCGTGAATTGTGAGTCTAGGGTGAAGTGGGAATTGCCGGGAAAGAAATAGTGAGAAAGGAAGTTGGAAATCTGTGAAGAGACACTTCTAAGCAGCCATCCATTGGGGCTGGTATTCACAGGTACCTGAGAATCCTGGAACACAGCAAGTTGGTGAGAGACTCCAGTCACTAGAGGGAGGACGAGCAAGGAGCACTTCTACTCTCTTCCCCCTCACTACATTCACCCCCCAGCTCCTCACTTCACACACATGTATTGCCAGTGGAGGGGTTCCTGGGATAAGGGGTCCCAGGAAGGTGAGACAGCCACCCCCTGAGAGAATTCACATACTAATACCCTTACTGCTCCCCTCCCTTCAGAGCTGATGATGATTTCCTTTGCAAGTCAGTTTGGCTATCTGTCTTGTTTAGCTGATGCATGATGGAAAACAGAAGACTAAGGGCCAATGGTGTAAATTCAAGGATAATTATTACCATCCTCATTTATAGTTGATGAACTACGGTTTGGTTTCAGTTACATGACCAGGACTACTGGAATTAGAACCCAGGTTCTCCTGACATCTTTTCTTACACCATGTTGTCACCAAGGAGACAGTGCCAAAGTCCTTCCACAGAGACATCCGCGTGTTAGCCTTGCGGGAACTGTGCCCTCAGGCCTCAGAGACAGAGGAAGCAAGGTCCCATTGGGAGTTCCATTTTATTTTATTTGACCACGAATACCAGCTGAATTTCAATGAAAAAGAAATAGGACTACCTCTTCATTAAAGCAGGCTTCAGGCCCCTCTGCTTGGCAACACTTGACCACCACATTAGTGAAATCTGTAAGCAATGACCGCAGCTCTGCATCTGGAAGCTCAGGCTTTAGCTTCACTACATTGACAAGAAACCTGTGACCCAAAGATGTCAAATAGAATTCATTAAAGATTTCTTTCTTAAGCTCTCCTTCTCCTAAATGCTTGTCACAGTATCACATGTCTTGGGGGTCTTGATTTGGATGAATATAAGAAGTTAAGATATTCCACTTTGAAGGGATTTTCTGAAACTTTCCCGCTCAACTTATGGGATGGATTTCATGGTAACATTCTTTGGAAGGTTATGTAATTATAAACAAAATGATATCAAATGTAAACATATATTAGGTCTTCATTATGCACAGAATTGTAGATTACGTGATTACTTTTGATCTTTCTAGAAAATCCATTCTCAAAACAACCTCTATTCCCTCTTTCTCAGTAGCTGAATGCTGTTTCCACTCAACTTGATAGAGACACTACCTAATTCCTTCCCCCTCCCCGAAAAAACCTTATTCTTTAGCATTTATAACATTGTGCGAGCAAACAAAACTAACACTCTTGTCCCTTTTGGGCCTCTCCTTTTTTCAAACATTAAGCAAGATTCTCGAGGCAAACATCTATGCCATTCCCTCAAGAAAGTCCAGTTCATTATGAACTTGCTCATGAGCTTTTATGCTGGCTGCCCTAACTCACCTTTGCAAATCGTAGTGTATTAGACACTCCAAGTCTAGCAAAAGAAAACATTAGCTAGGTTTTGACTTATAAGCAATGGCAATAAATATGCTCCAGTGTTTTTCTGAATGGGAGAGATTGGACAATTTGAGGCAAGGGATAGGATTATAACACCAAAATCACATATGCATTAATAGTACACCTTCCCATTAATACATTATGTGCCTTCAGGCTGAAGAAAAGATGAATGGAAGAGAATGCTTATACCTGTCTTTCTTTCTCTGGAGCTCCTCCTTATGAGCCTGACATAAGTCTGTGTGAAAGGTAAATAAACCTTGAAAGGTAGATGGAGGCACATATGCTTTATCAGCTTCCAAGCCTTCAAAGCAGGACCTTCTGAAGGCAAAGTTGGTTTTGCAACAGTGGTCCACATCGGGGTTGATGTTCCGATTTTCATTTATTCCACATAACTCTCCAAGAACTAAATCCATCTGTGCCAACGAATGATGGAATTCAAATATAACTTTAAAACTTGAATAGTTTTGAAATACGGTTAGATAAATCGTTAGATTGTCCTAAGGTGATTATTAACTGTACTCAGAAAAACCCATGCACTTATAAACATAACACTACATGCGAAGCAAAATAGAAGCTTGCATTATGATAAAGTTTCAAGCCATTGTAATTCAAATGCCTATAGGTTAATTTCTTGTTAGCATATATACAAATCTGTAATTGTGAACAAAGAGCTGCAAAACAGCCAACTGAAAATGACAGCCAAACACTGTGGCCCTTAGATTTATTCTCTTCCTCGGATGTTTCCCAGAGTAGTCTCCATCCCAACCCTAAAGAGATACACCCAAGTTGTGATTGGGCAGGAAGCATCAAGTCTCTTACCGACACTGTGGGGTAAGACTGAATTTGTAACTTTACTTAAAATTATAAAGCTTCTTATATTGTTCTGAAGCAATGTCATTATTCCTGCCTTTTGCCCTAACAAATTACACATAAGAAATTAGTAATAAGAAGAAGTAAGAGAGATGATTTGGAGAACCCCAAGAAAATATTTAAAACATTCTCTTGCTTCTTAGGATTGTGATGCAGTGAGCCTCCCCAAAGAACTTTGACATTCCTTGCTTAACAATGTTGAAACAATGAAGAAAGGTAGATAACAGCCTAATGGTTATAAATCAATTAGTGCAGCAGATTTCTTTTCTTCCTTTTGTTTTTCTTTTTTAGGAATAATTAGGTACACGCGCCACGCTTACCAAATTATCAACGCAGGCAAACTCTTCACTCAGTGTGCAGCAGGTGGTCAAAGCTGTCACCATTTCCTTGCCAAGAAAGGTCAGTTCTTCAGTGGAGAGCTGGGGGGCTAGCTTTGTGAGTTTGATAAGGTAGCTGAAAGAACAGTTGTCTAATTGGTTCTAAACAAAACCGAATACCCGTTTTCTCTTGTCTAGCTACTTGAAACCCTAACTCTTCAAGTCTAGGGACAACCAATGTAAGGGCAATGTGAACCACAGCTCTCCCATAAAATGATAGATAACTGTCTCTTTACTCCCTCTTTTCCCACACTCTGCATTTTTGGCTTCCTTATAATTTCATGGTATTCTCAGAAAGTCTCAGATTTGCCCATCCTGTCTTACCTGTGGGTATAGGAGCTCCCTGAAAGCAAATACTTTGGCTAGTGTGTAAAATACTACTTGAAATCTGCATGATTAGTAAACATTTTAAAGGGAGAATTTAATAGATATATGTTGGAAAGGGTAATCAGAGATGAAGGAAACCAGTATCTTTAATGGGCTGAGTTTGACTTCTCTTCACTGAAGCGACAGTGAAATCGTATTTTTTAAACTGTTTTGATTTGAAGATGCTTGGTTTAAATGCACACTATATTAGTCTGGTAATTAATTCAGAAAATCCAGAATAAACTGTGTATTGCTCACAAATACTAACAAGGACACTAAAAAAATAAATATTAAGATGTTAAGCAAAACCAGAATTATTTCTGTAAACTTGGTAAGGTGGGCTCAAATTCTGGGCAAACCATCTTTGCCTGGGAAATTGTAACAATCTGAAGTTCGCTGTCTCTCCTGCCCTCCCAAATAGGTCAGAATCCAGAGATTCTATTTTGGGATTGAGAAAAGCAAGACCAAGCAAAAACTAAAGTATTATAGGATCAATTTTCTAAAATCCTGTATTTTTTTAAAAAATTTTTTGTAATATTTATTTATTTTTGAGAGAGAGAGAGAGAGAGAAACAGAGTGTGAGCAGGGGAGATAGAGAGAGAGAGAGAGGGAGACACAGAATCCCAAGCAGGCTCTAGGCTCTGAGCTGTCAGCACAGAGCCCAACCCTGGACTTACACCCGCGAACTGCGAGATCATGACCTGAGCCAAAGTTGGACACTTGATGGACTGAGCCACCCAGGCGCCCCATAGAATCCTGTATTTCTTTAACTTCTAGCGTCATTCCTGGTAAAGGCTTACTATGACAGCTCAATATGCATTCTTGACTTTTGTGTTTTTATTCTTTCCCAGTTTATGAACTTGCTATAACTGAAAGACTGAGTTGAATTTTTGAAACTTTGTGGCACTCTTTATTTTATCCTGGTCACAAGTGCCAACCTACTTGTAAGCAAGCAACTTACTAGTATTTCAAGTCCTCTTTCCCCAAATTCTGGGAACGTTCACACTCTCGTTGTACTATCTTGAGGCTTTTCTCAGTTGTCTCGTTGAATCTGTGCTCCTAAAAATAAGAACAATCATATTCAGGAACATTTTATCTAAAATGTAAACACAAGCTTCGTGTCAACTTGACAAATAGCTTTTTTTATTTGCATAGTATTTTCAAACTATCATTACCACTCATTGCTCACTAAATTGAGAGTAGTTTTTTTTTTTTTTAATCCATGTGTGTCAGTACTGAAATCTTCTCAGCTATAAACACAGATATGGTTTACGCTAAAATTTGAAATCTGCAAATTTTTCGTCATCATGTACAGTTTTTAGAGCTTCCCAGTTTACAAAGTATAATTCAAATCTTATGTTGACAATGAGCGTAACTGATTATCACTTTCAACTGGCCAGAGCAAGCTCTCATTTTTACATAAAGGAAATTAGCCTCTTATGAAGTCAAATGACTTGCCTTAGAATGACCCAGCTAGTGAGTGTGGCTACAGAACATTTTACATCACATTTATCTTTATTTTATACCCTCCTTTCCATCATTTAGAATTGGAACTTTAAAACTCCAACAATTGTCTTCAATATTTGACAAACTCTATCTCGTGCAGCATAAAATTGGATATCTACTGAGTGGCCAGACAGAAAACTACACACCAGTGGATGGATGCTGTGGGACAAATTGTGCCTCCATATGAAAAAAACCCCAGAATTTTCTAGCACTATGATTCATTCATTCGAAGGTCAGGAACAGACTTTCTCGTTAGGGACAAAGCTAGACTGGAAGTCAAGCCTTCTTGTTTCATGGCTCAAATATGAATGGGTGTAATATGAATGGGCTCAAATATGAATGGATGTAAGGTGGCTTTTATGGCAGGTGGAAGCAATTTTTTAAATAAGGCAAAAAAGCAGCACGTATCAAATGAATGAGAAACGAATTCGAAATGTCAAATAATTAATTTCTGTAATACATAAGGGATGACTATGAATTGATACTAAAACACACTAATTTCAACAGGAAAATGGATAATGGGCACGAATAACTTGTTCAAAAGAAATTTATAACTGCAATAGCTAAAATCAGATGGGAAAGACCTAATTTCATTTAAAAATCAAATAAATGCTTAAAACACAGTCACTATTTTTTTTAAATCTAGCAAAGTTAATTTCCATGTGCAGTGATGGTGACAATGAGGGTTTGGGAGATTGGCGGGGAGGGGGTGAAGTGAGTATTGTCAAGCACTGTTGTAGGACTGTATGCTGATAAAACTTTCTAGAAAGTAACTTGACCGTTTGGATCAAATGTGTTTTTTTTAAGTCTATATATTTTGACCTAATAATTTCCCTTCTGATAATCTAACTTAGGACAAGAGTCATAAATATTAATAAAGATGAATGAAATGAGATACTCACTTCAGGGGCACTTACAAAATTTAAAACCTAGTCAAATGTTTAAAACATCCACTACACGGTAGGAGGTCAGTTGAATAAATTACTATGATGAAATTCCATCATTTAAAATAAAGTATATTTTGAAGTCCGTTTAATGACCTAACAAATTTGCTGTGATAGTAACTAAAAAATAGACACAAATATTTTTCTTTTTTAAAAAATGTATTTATTTTTTGGGGAGAGCGCAAGTGGGGGAGGGACAGAGAGAGCAGGACAGAGGATCCGAAGTAGGCTCTGTTCTGACAGGCTGACAGCAGGGAGCCCCATGTGGGGCTTGAACTCATGAACCCCAAGATCATGACCTGAGCTGAAGTTGGACGCTCAAACGACTGAGCTACCCAGGCGCCCTAGATGCAAACATTTCTTAAGAAAGTACTATTCCAATCTTTTTTTTTTTTTTTTTTTTTAGCGTTTGTTTATTTTTGAGACAGAAAGAGACAGCGTGAACAGGGGAGGGGCAGAGAGAGAGGGAGACACAGAATCCGAAACAGGCTCCAGGCTCTGAGTGGTTAGCACAGAGCCCAACGCGGGGTTCGAACCCACAGACCCCGAGATCTTGACCTGAGCGGGAGTCGGACGCTTAACCGACTGAGCCACCCAGGCGCCCCTCCAATCTTATTTTTAAACATGCACACACATATATGCATGTTTGCATAGAAAAGATGAAAGAAAATGCTAATTATAGATATTTCTCAGTGACAGTATCACAGTTTTTATATTTTGTCTTTGTAACTTTGGGGATTTTCCTAATAATCATCAATAATCATTTATTACTTTTACAATCATAAAAAAAATCCAATATGGCTTAATAAAATGCAGAATACATAAATAAAGATATAAGTGTAAAATATTTAATGGGAAGATCTTTTTTGCATTAATACCCAGAATTAGTAGTTCAAAGCGTTGTGCAGAAACCTAACATGATGTCAATCTTCCCAATGATCGTCCTTCACTGAGTTTAAAGTAGACTCAGATGGGGTGCCTGGGTGGCTCAGTCGGTTAAGTGTCTGACTTCGACTCAGCTCATAATCTCACAGGTCATGAGTTCAAGCCCTGCGACAGGCTCTCTGCTGACAGCTCAGAGCCTGGAGCCTGCTTTGGATTCTGTGTCTCCCTCTCTCTGCCCATCCCCCTGCTTGTGCTCTGTTTCTGTCTCTCAAAAAAAAATAAACATAAAAAAAAAAAATTAAAGTAGACTCAGATTGGTCAAGCACATTTCTACCCCCTAAACTAGAGTAAAACTTTGATTCAGTTTTGAAGTGTTTGTTGTTTGGCTTTGTTTTGTTTAGTTCTGTGAGCCCAGAACAGTAGAACCTACCGCGTGGCGGTAACAGTCTGGAGGGTTTTCTGTGTGACAACACTCTTTCAGAAGATCCTCGTACACGCCAGTGATTCTTAAAAGCTCTGGTGTAGACAGTTCCGGATGTCTCCTTGAGTATTCATAGAGAAACCTGTGATGTGTAAAATAATTTGAACATTAGAACTTAGAGAAAAAACAAAATACCAAATCCTGCCATCTTTTAAGCTAGTCAGATCTCGTAATACTGAGTCTGCTCTCAGATGCTAACTTCTTCCTCAGGTTTGCTCAGGCAGTGATTTAAGAGGGTATTTTGACTACGGGAGATCTATTTTGCAAAATTCTCTTCTGTAGCATGTTCTCCACTAACTGTTTTCACTTGAGAGAATAGAAGGATTAGAGTTATTCAGAGTTAATTATAAAATGATTTAATCCATAAAACATCAGAAATAGTGTATCATGCCACCAATACTTTAGAAAATACATGTGGGGTAGAATTCTGTTGGAAAATACATTCAGACCTCCAACTTGAGATGGTGGAAATATGGCTTGCTCCCCACTCCAGGGCCACCTCGGTGAGAGACTGGGAAACAGCTTTGCCCATTACTTCATCCTGTCACTTGTCAAATATGGGAGTAAACACCCCTCTAGCGCTAAGTCGTTGGCAATGGTTTCCGTGACCCCAATGAGAGGCTCCGAGGGGATAGGCGGTGTGATTTGGGGAGAAATGGGAAAGCGAGAGGAAAGAGGCTAACACTTATTAAGCCCTTAGTAGGTGCTAGCACTGGCTCAAGCTCTGGGCATAAGAGATAAAGAAACGCTTCCTAGCTGCTGGAAACACTTTTCTCGTTTAACTTCACTAAGTCCTCAAGATAAGTACTATTTTATAACTGAGGAAAAGTCTCAGATGGGGTAAGTACCTTGCTATTAATGGAAGTGCAACATTTGAACCTATGTTTCATAGGATGCCCACTTCATTCTTTTTCCAAACCAAGTTGACTCTCTTTGCAGGAGAGGGGTACCTTCTCTAAGCACCTCACCTGTGCTATTTACAATCTTCGTCATAAAAAAAATCTTATCTGTTCATTCAGAGTAAGTTAAAATGGCTTTCTATGCTTTGTGAGAGCAACACCTCACAAAAGTTTCTCAATTCCAGGCAACTCCTTATATCTCTTTCTGTTTCGCAGCCTTTGATTTCCTTGATTAATCTTGGTCTTTCTGACATCGTCTCTCCTGCTTCTCCATCCACCTTCTCAACCTTATTTGTGGAATATATTCCCAGACCCTAAAGCAACAGTGTTTAACCTTCAGAGAATCGAGGACTCCTTCCTTTTAATATCTGATGTAAGCCAGGACCCTTCTCCAGGAATAAAACCACACCTAAAAAAACACCCAACCAAAATGCTGCAAACAAAAACTCCTAGAAGCCTACCCTTGAGGCAGATCCATTGAGGTCTTGTGTCAAATGTTTACATCCAGAAAGACTACTCCTTACAACTCTGTTTCTGGCTCAGCGTGCTCACTGTTGCTCTGTGATTTCTCCTCAAACACTATGTTGGATGATGATGATGATGATGATGATGATGCAAAACTTGCTTCCACTTGGTGAGCACATGTGTCAGGACAAGTGAAACTACCTCTATCATTTTGTTAAGTTTAATTTGAGTTAATACACTCATGAGAAGCAATAGAGCACAGTGCTTATAAGAAAAGGAGTCTGGAGCCAGACGGCTCGCCTTTGAGTCCTGGCTCCACCCCGTAATATCTGTGTGACTTGGGAGCAAGTTACTTCACTTCTGTGCTTCAGTCTCCTTACCTGTAAGATGAGGATGGTAAAAGTGTTCTAACCATAAAGGGTTGTTCTGAAAATTAAATTGGTTAGTAGATGAGAAGCACTTAAAATTTGATAAGTTTTCCATAATCTGTATCTTCCAGAGGTCTGGGTTCATATATAAAATTGTCTCATGATATTTGAGATAATATGGATGGGCCTGGAAGGTATTATGCTAAAGTAGTGAGACTGCAAAAGACAAATATATATGAGTGGGAAAAAAAATAAAGCAAAACTAAAAACAAGTGAATAAACAAAAACAGCAGAATCAGACCTATAAATACACAGAACAAACTGATGGCTGCTGAGGGGGGTGGGGGGTGATGGGCAAGATAAGTAAAGGGAAGTGGGAGATGCAGAGTTCCAGTTATGGGATAAATAAGTCATGGGAATAAAAGACTCACCATAGGGAATATAGTCACTGGTCTTGTAACAGTGACATATGGGGTCAGATGGTAACTGCACTTGGTGATGAAGCTAGCATAACGTATAAATTGTCAAATCACTATGCTGTACATTTGAAATTAATGAGAAGTTGTGTGTCAACTATGCTAAAAAAAATTGTCTTGTGACCTTCCTAATTAATTACTCTACAGATAGCTCAAAGTCAGTGCGGTCAGATCCAAACATATTCTCTTTCCCACAGAACCTTCAACCCATACTTCCCATCTCATTGAATCTGAAAACTACTTACCCAACCACCTAAGCCCCAAACTGGGATTCATTCCAGATGAAGTTTCTAAAAAACAAAAGTGATTTTGTCCTTCCTTATTCTTCAGTGAAAGCCCTTTAGTGGCATCTTGTTACTTAGCATGCCTGTGTGATCTGACCCCGTATACTTCTCGCTACCCTCGACTCTCACCACAAATACCCTACCCAAAGCCACAAATGCACCAAGTGGTTTTAGACTTTTATCCATGATCTACCCCTTCTGTCTAGATTACCAAATTTTCTTTAAGTACCTCCTCCCTACTGAGCCTTCCCAGGTTTCTTAGGTACAATCGACCACTTCCTCCTCTGTGCCCACATTACATAGTACATGGTGCTACTGAAAATAAAAGCATGTCTTGCACTCATTTATTTATAAGTCTGTCTCTTCCCCCATCACATCCCCTATTGATGAAAGCTTACCGAGGATAAAAGTCCTGTCTAACCTACTATAGTCCCTGAATTATATTTCATTACCAATAAACTTAGAATGAATGAATGAATGAATGAATGAATGAATGAATATCTTTACATGAATTTTATATATGATGTTGTAAAACACAAAGAAGTTAACTTGTTCTAGTGATTCAACAGGACTCAAATCTAGTCTCTTTGGTTCCACGTCCACTAGTTTCCCTTTGACGGCTATGGAAAGGTATAGCATGGCAGTTCAGCCTGGAACTTCTAAGACCAGATCTCCTCAGGTCAAATCCTTACTCTGCCAGCTTTTAGCTATGAATCTTCAATAAGTTATTTCACTGCTCTGTACCTCAGTTTACTTGTCTGAAAAAAAATGGGGGTAATCGTATTGGTTTTACATGACTGCTACGAGAATTAAAATAGATACTCTACATAAAGTAGTCAGCCCATTGTCTGGCACGTATCAAGCACTCAATAAATGTTAGCCATCCCTGTAATAACACAGTTGCATCTTTTTAAAATCATGTGAAAATACTGTAATCTGTAGCCAGGATTTTTAAAAATTATGTGATGCCCAATGATTTCAATGGTTCTCATTCCTCCCACCCAAATTAGCTGAAATAGGTCAAATCATAAGTTTCTGTTTGCCTTATAAATTTCAGTATAGACTTATGTTACTCAGCCATGAAGCTCGTTTGATTAGCATCTCGTTCTTCACACACATTTTCGCTTTCAGTAAATTTTGCTTCTCTTAGAGATAAGTCCTTTGGTCTGTCATCTTTATTTGAGGAAATTATGCACTCGCCACGCTCTGGTATTTTCTTTTCACAGCACTCTTTGATTTTGCTGGAGATGGAATCTTGTTTTAAGCAAATATGGCTCATAACTTTGCTCTGTACAAAATAAGAGTGAAAAATTAATTTATTTTACTAATTTCTTCAGGGCCAGATTTTCCTTCACAATGAAATGGTTGCATGCAAAACCAACCATGAGCATGACATCTGGAGTTGTTCCATCAGATAATTTGATAATAATATTTACTTAAATTTTGTATTCATTTAGCGCACATGAAGCTTTCATATGAATGCAAGTTTTATTTCTCAAGATTTTAAATGATAATTATGAAAATAGACTCCGTTATACATTTACATTTTATTGTTAAATATTAATCTTTAAAATACTTTACTCTTATTCGTGTGATATATTGGCATTTTAAATTCTAAATGTTGTTTCTTTCCCATAAGATTTCACCTGTGTTTCAATGAAGGCCACCAAAGACATGCGACTATAATATCTATAATACTAGATGTCTTTCTTCCCTCGTGGCCTGAAACTATATTGCCAACATAAAGTAGAAACTCAATAAATATTTAAAAGGCGAATGAAAAAATGGCAAGTAAATGAACTACTGTAGCAACTACCAGATAAAGACTTCTCAAACATAAGAAGCTTTCCTACTCATTGTTATCATTTTCCTATGGTTATTACTAATTGGAAACTGTTCAAATTATCAAATAGTGTACAAAACAGAAAACCTTACTGTCTCTCCTCTTTATCCCGATTATGACCCCTACATGAAATTGTGAGAATAAGAGAGAAGGTGAAGTTTTCTTATTTACACATTAGTTGGATAATCTCTTTTTATTTTTTAATTTGAGAGAAAGAGAGTGCATAAGCAGGGAAGAGAGGCAGAGGAAAAGAAAGAGAGAATCTTAAGGAGGTTCCATGCTTTGCACAGAGCCGGGCATGGGGCTCAATCCCAAGACCCTGGGATCATGACCTAAGCCAAAATCAAGAGTTGAGCCACCCAGGCTCTGCCAAGTTGGATAGTTTTTTAAAACTGATCTGGTCCCTAATCCCTTCTCCAGACTCTCCAGTGTGAGCCTGCACATTCTTCCTCCTCTCTGTTCCAGCTTCACATGTACTATGCTGAGTTCCATAAAATGCCAGGCCATTCCAGGTCTCTCTGACTTTACTCAAGCTGTTCCTTCTGCCCAGGATCTTCTTCTGGCAAACATTGAAGATGAGGAATGGGATGAAGCTCTGGGTTGAATTGAAATATGGAATGGGGGTTGTTGGTACCATGTCCCCAACAAACCATACAGAACCAGGAAGCCAATCTTTGCAAATATCTACACATCTCACTGAAAGCCATCACAGTTCTGGACAGCACATCTCTTAATGTCTGGAATTCACTTCTGTCTTGAATAAACTGCAGTTTAATTCCTCTTATTTCTCCATGAAGGCATTTTAAAAAGGGATATTAAGGACATAATATGATCTCTTCATTTCAGCTTCATACTTCACAGAAAACTCTTAAATTATACTCTAATTTAGTATATAATATTTAATATTATAAAACCCATACTTCCATAAACAAACAATACAAAACTAAGTAGTGAGTGAGATTGCTTTTAATTGGAGTCTGATTAAGAACAAAATAATTCTTTGGGACATCTGTTGTCCCTGCTTGAAATAAAGTGTATATATCTTTATATTTTAAAATTCAAGTTAATTAATTAACATACAGTTTCACTGTGAGTTTAAAACAGTAAAACTAATTAAAAGTCACTGAGAAAAAGTCTCATTTCAACTAAGAAGGCAGGATTATTTTTAATAAAATTGTGTTACTTTTATGTGCACTTAAACTTTTACTGAACAACTTAAACTAAGTCAATATGTTTACCAGTAAATATATTCTAAAAATCCAGACTTTTAGAAAATCACTTTGAAGAATAGTGTAATAGTTATTTCAAATTAACATATCCACTTATTTGAAAATACTTCTCCTAAATAGCTGGAGGAAACTCAGAGGAAGCCATTCTTAAAAATACAATGGTATTTCCATTCTCTGAGTTTTACTATTTAATTTCTAATATCTCTAAAAGAAGAGTTGCAATATTTTTTTTGAAAAGTATTTTTTTAATATATATAATTTGTTGTCAAATTGGCCAACATACAGTGTGAAAAATGTGCTCTGGTTTTTTGGGGTAGATTCCCGTGGTTCATCGCTTACATACAACACCCAGGGCTTATCCCAACAAGTGCCCTCCTCAAAGCCCATCATCCATTTTCCTCTCTTCCCCCCCCCACCCCCCGCATCAACTCTTAGTTTGTTTTCTGTATTTAAGAGTAGAAGAGTCACAATATTAAAGAACACTTTAGTCTGCCTTGAGTGAATGTTCACAAATTCTAAATTCCTAAAGTTTATGTCAAGGATGTTTAGCCATATAAATAGAATCTGCTGAGTAATCTAACAACAATCAATCCCATGTATTAAAAAAAAAATTACTTGACCTTATTTGTTGATATATCATTTTCTGTTTTATTTATTTTGTTATTATCTAACAATTTATCAACATTCTGATTTTGTTGTGGTAAAGTAGCCACAACAAACCTAGGACAACTTCAGAATTTAAAAATGGCTGCCCACAATCATTATTTTTACTTGGTTTTAGAAAATATTTACCCTGCCACGGATGCACTGCACAGCATCCCCTTCACAGCATCCATGGTACTTGGAAGAAACATCTTCTAGAAGGGAGGTAAGTTCCTTAAATTCAATCTTGGGAAATTTTTGACTAAGTATAGCAACATTTCTGGGAAAAAAAATGAGGAACCACGGAAACAACTTGAACATCAAGTAAAATAAGAGAGAATTCTTTGCTAATACAGTATAAATAGCTGCAGTAAGAATTAGTACCCTTGTTTTTTCACGGATATCTTTACCAAATAGCTGTTTATATGTTGTACAGCCTGCATGATCACTTGGAAACTCCTAGGCTGATATTTCGAGTCCCGGACCAGGACTGGAATAAAAAGTTCTGTGAGATATTCCCCCTTCCATATTTTTATAGCAAAACACATTTTGTAAAGACCACCGCTTCCTGTGGCGAGCTCATGGCAGGCATAGCCCGTCACAGAACACTTTCCTGCTGATCTATTTGAGATCTCAGAATTTTTCTAAAGATATGCAACAGCACCATTACTAATTAGTGAGGATGAGCACTTGAGATAAAATTTATCCTTATAAGGCTGCCTCCTAGTCATTAGAGTCAAAGATGGATGGACGCATCACATCTAAAGCACTTGGAGGCTTTAAAACCCTGATTGGGAACTCCCAGACCAATTCAGATTTCCAACTAACCAAAGAATATCTCAGAAGTAACCTTCTTTCTCTCTGGGGTCGTCCCACCTCCCAGGTCTTCTTGCATTCTGACCTAACTGAGCTATCCATGTGGACTGAGACCCACCTCAACACTCCTGGAGAGGAGTAAAAATCAAAAGCCATCAACAACTTCACAAAAATGGGACACAGAGGAGAAAATATAAGTAAAGACAAGATACATATTGTAAAACTCACATAGATTCTAAGACTTGCAATCCAAATTTTATAAGTGCCCCACAGACATTTTTTTGAAAAGAAGATGATGCTTTTAAATATTGTATGACAGGTTCTGCCTGAAGGAAAAAGAGAAGATTCTATTGAAGCAAAAGCAAAATCCCACCAATCTCTTATTTCTTAACTACATGTCAATCACATTTTCCAAAATTTGCTCAGAAACAGAAAATCAATGGGATTTTTATCCTGATAAGTGTATATATCAAAAGAAATATGCATTTGTGGCACATTATAAAAGTTAGGCCAGTCTTCCTGATGACTGAATTACACTTGATGGGAAGGTAAGCGGTGCAGTGTGCTGTGAGCTTGTCCACCTCTATTGGGATGATTAAATTTTATAGGTAGTCAAAAGAGGACATGCCCAGGATAGATGATAAAATGACACCTTTACCCTAGATATTCACTCACTAGGGCTTTCTTCCAATTTACATGGAAGACAATGCCAGAAGAAAGACCCCGGAAATAGGCAATTGTCTTTCAAGGTCTCAAGTAGTAAGAAATTTAAATCAGCAGCCAGTGGCCAAAGGGTTGAAAAACCAGTGGAAGTGGCAAGGAAATGACTGATAAATGATAAACAACCCTTTGCTATAATTTACCTTTAAGTGAGGACCTGCAGTTTGGGGTCACCCCTTACCATTTTAATGACATAAATGCAATGCTCACTTTTGTTCGAAAGCAGTTAGCTTTGTCTTGTTCTTCACAACATGTTTTAGTCATCTCCTCAAAACGAGCAGCCACAGTTAGAAGGGTAGGGGCAAAAACAAAGGGGTTCCTTCTGGAAACTTCATATATATAACTATAAAAGAAAAAAGAGAAGGAAAGGAAAAGGGAAAAACACAGAATAAAAATGAAAAAAAAAGGTAGATGAGGGATGGAAAGATAGGGAAAGACAAGAATATCAAGTTGTAAAACTGAAGGTAAGCCTTCAATATAAAGCAACATTATCTAGTCTCCAATAAAAGTTTTATCAATTAAGTTTCAAACTTCAAAATCAGAGTGATGGTTAGTTTTCATCCTGAACACTGAACTAAGGCTGCTGTCCTTCCTTCCTTCCTGCGGCTGCCAGATGGTCAGCGGCTCTTCCTTCCACATTCAAAGGGCAATTACTTGTGTATACTCTGAGATTTGGGGATTTATTTACTTATGTTCAAATAAACTTATAATTTAAGTTTTGATGAGCACACCAGCTTTCCAGGAAAAAAAGTCCTCTGCTTCTGCAATTACTGTACTATTGAAAACCCATTTTTGGTAGATATCCACTGATTTAATATTTACCCTCAGTAAAAGCTGCACCTTCCCTTTAAGAAAACCAGATTATTCCCTCCAGTAGCAGATTGGCACCACGCACACACTCTGTCCTAGGACTTGCCACACTGAAAAATGTATATCATTACTGAAAGAATCTTGAAAGTAGGTTGCATATCTTGTTCATATTTATACCGTGAACACTGGACACAGAATCTGACACACAACACATGTTGAATGGTTTCATCCCTCAATGAAACAAGCTATGTTCCTTTGGAAGAGGTATTGGACTTTGCCTGAGAATAGTTCTTCAATTAGATAATTCTTCTACTAAAAGTAAACTTACTTGTTCAGAAAAGATTCTCTGTTATTTTTATAAGTCTGGCATTTCTCTTCAGGATCCAAGGTAGGAAGAGGGGGCAGAAATCCTACATCAGCTTTCTTATGATGAAAGAAACAAAGTTTTTTTTCCAAGTCGACCTTACTGCAGCAGTGTGAAAAATTATGCTTTTGTGGAAGTCCCTCCAAAGCACATATATTTTCCAGTAAAACATCATTCTAGACAACAAAAAAGTAAAGGGCATCTTTTATTCATTGTAAAGTTTTTCAGCTTTCTGAGATGACACAATAAATACAGTGACTAATGAGTGTCACCCTTTGCGAAGGAAAGTCCAATTTTCCCAAAATTACTAGCAAAGCATTCTTACCCACACCTTTGACAGCCATCCCACACTTGGGGAAACTTTCTCTGTCTTATCCTGGGGCCCTTTAATCTCTTACTCCTTCTTTGCTGCCTACATTTCCCTTATATAACAGCTTTTTTTTTTTTCCTTTACTCTTAAGGTGAAAAGGCCGGAGAGTGAATGTATCGGTAAAGTATTAGCAGTAGTTGTTAGTAATAGTCTTCTAGAAATGCAGATGGTGACTCTATTTGGCAGAGGCTAAGAAAAAGGGGGTGTGATGGTAAAGCATACGTTGAAAGAGGCATCTAAGGAGGGTACCTCCGTACTTCTGTGCACTTTGTCAAACTATTGGTTGCCCCCCTTGCCTACATACATATGGCATGGCTGCAATCTCATAGCCAAGTGCATCATAATGCAGAATTGCATCTCTGCGAGGAAAACACCTTATCCTAAATTCCAAAGTCAGGCAAACTAAAAATATAATGGGGCATAGAGCATCTCTTTTTTTATATTTCAAGCCAAAAATTCTGTTTGAAAAATAGGCTTATTTGTTTAAGAAATACAGACAATTTACTTACAGCTAATTCGGAACACTCTGGGAGTGTCATGTCAGCCAAGCATTTATCTCTATATTCTGTCATGGTTTTTACCAACATCTCCACTTCTTCGAAGGAGGCCTCCTGAATATATTGAGCAAATATGATGATGGTGCTGTAACAGTCCACAGGGTACACAATGATCACCCGAAGGATCTCCACTTCTGTCCAACAAAAACTTGTAGAAACATTAACTTGCTGAATAGTCTCAGGACATTATCAATGTCTGAGGGCCATAAATTTTATAATTTTTGACAATTCAATAGCCTCATCTGAATTTTGTGAGTAATACTGTATTTACTTTTTAAATATGGCTTTCTATTGCATTGAATTACTTTTGAGAAGCATTGACATTTCTGAAATATATCAGATAAGATCATGATAAACACCATCATCATCAAAAATAATTTAGAGAGGGGCACCTGGGTGGTTCAGTCGGTTAAGTGTTTGACTCTTGGTTTCAGCTCAGGTCATGATTTCAAAACTTGCAAGTTCGAGCCCCACATCAGGTTCTGTGCTGACAACTCAGAGCCTCCTTGGGATTCTCTGTCTCCCTCTCTGTCTGTCCCTCCTCACCCTCCCACCCTCTGTCTCTCTCAAAAATAAATAAATAAAATTTAAAAAAATAGTTTAGAGAAACTCACATATATCCAACATTCTCCTCTATAAATTTCTGAGTAATACTGACATCATCTGAAAAGCAACAATATTTAGGTTATTATGTATCCTGGTATTTAAACATTTTCCCACCAAATAACTGCATGATATCTAAATTTATAAAGTATAAAAGGGAAAACTCATTGTAGAAAATAATTTGGCATACTTCACAAGAAGGAGAAAAGTCATATGAACCAAATATAAGATCTTTATCACAGCTTACTACATACTCCAGACATATCCATTAAGTTGAATTGACTTGACATAATTTCAAATCTGGGTCCAGACTTCGGATTTGCCATTGACGGCTCCTCAGCCACAAATGCCAAATCCAAGCACCATGTCCATGCTAAGTGTCTATCATGTATGACTAGAAGAGTCATATGAAGGTTAAATGATATGTGATGTAATGCTTCCACAGGGCCTAACAAAAGATACCATAGTGTGCTAGTAGTTAATATAGTTTATAATGCTAGCAAGACACAGATATTTAGATCATCTCTGGACCAATCTAAAATCATCGATTCCCTCCCAAGGAACACACTTATATTTGTCCACATAGCCTATTTTTATAGAGGCCTTACTTTTGCAAGGTATTGTGCTGGACACTATGAGGCAATCAGTAATAATTAAGACATCTCCCCTGGACCTCAGGTTTCTAAGTACTCACTGTGCACGTGACTTACAAACATGACTATAATCCAGTTTAGAATGTACATGATATTCTAAAGTAATGTGGGTAAGTATATGACAAGAATGCTTTATGATCCCTGGGTGAGAAACCAGGAAAGGATTATAGGAAGAGTGGCATATGAGTTGAGTCTGAAAAAATGCACATAGCAGTGAAATGAGGACGCTCTTCTCTCTGTGTGGAGAAAATGATGAGTAAAATTACAAAGATAAGAGATTTTGAGATATATGTGGGGAAAGTAAATTAATTTACTTTCATGAAAGAGTGGGTCATCAAGAACAAAAACTACGATAGAAAGGACTTGGATCCATATTTTGGAACTCTTGCATATAAAGCCTAGGAGTTTGGGCTTCAATTAGAAGCTATGAAGATCCGTTAAAAATGTTTATATAGAATAGTAATGTGATTATTCTTTTTTTAAATTGAGGTATAATTAACATACAGTGCTGTATTCGTTTCAGTTGTACAGCATACTGATTAGACAATTCTATATACTACTCAACGTTTACCACAATAAATGTAGTCACCATCTGTCACCCATAAAACATTATTGCAATATTAGTGACTGTATTCCTTATGTTGTGCTTGTCATCTCCATGACGTATTTATTTACTTTATAACTGGAAGTTTGCACTTCTTAATCCCATTTATTTATTTCACCCACCTTCCCTTTGACAACCACCAGTTTGTTTTCTGTATTTAGGGTCTGGGTTTTCTGCTTGTTTGTTTGTTTTCTATTTTAGATTCTACATATAAGTGAAATCATATGGTATTTGTCTTTCTCAGTCTGACTAATTTCACAAAGCATAATACCCTCTAGGTCCATCCATGCTGTCACAAACGGCGAGATCTTATTAATTTTTTTTATGGCTGAGTAACATTCTGTTGTATGTATTTATACCACATCTTCTTTATACATTCATTTATTGATGGACACTTGGATTGCTTTTATATGTTGGCTATTGCAAATAATGCTGCAATAAACATAGGGGTACATATCCTTCAAATAAGTGTTGTCATTTTCATTGGGTAAATACCCAGTAGAGGCATTACTGGTTCATGGCACTTCTAGTTTTAATTTTTTGAGGAACCCCCATACTGTTTTCCACAGTGGCTGGACCATTTTATATTCCCACCAACAGTGCACAAGTGTTCATTTTTCTCCACATCCTCACCAACACTTGTTATTTTTTGTCTAATTTATATGCAACCACCAAAGACCCACAGAGACACAAACCATCAATAAGGTAAACAGCAACTTACTGAACGGGAGAAAATATTTGCAAATATTATATTCAGTAAGGAGTTATTATCCAAAATATATAAAGAACTTAAACAACTCAATACCAAAAAGCAAACAAACAAACAAACAAAACTCAATCCAAGTAAAAAAAAAGGGGAAGAGGATCTGAATAGACATTTTTGGAAAGAAGACATAGAAGTGGCCAACAGACATACAAAAAGAAGTTCAACATCACTAATCATCAGGGAAATGCAAATCAAAACCACAATGAAGTATCGCTTAATATGATCATTTCTATATGTTAAGACATACCAGCCATGTAGTAGTATATATAATGTTCAGGGAATTAGAAATAGACACGGTACCTGACAAATAGAAAGTGACAAGAACTATTTGTAAATTAGATGGATGGAAGAATGAATGGCTACAACACACAAAAAGCAAGACCCACAAGCCCATTAAAAACTTTTGTAATTGTTCTGTTGAGAAATTAGCAAGACATGAATTTTGTTAAGAGTAATGGAAATGCAAAAGAGAACGTCCATGCAAAAGATATTGAAGAAGATATTGAAGAGACAGAAATCAACAGGATTTTTGAAGAAGTCTTTAAAAAGAGCAAAGGAGACAAACTCAGGAATGACCATTCTTCAATCCTGTGACTGGTCTCGTCCCCCCTACAGTATGTAGGGGGGACGAAAGTAAGACACAATCCACATTTTTCAGGGCCAATGCAATGCTTCTGGCACCCTTGTGCAAGTTACAAAAAAGTCCTTTCTCCTTGCCCCAGGGATTTAAAAAGACACATTTTCTCAAGAAATGAAGTTCAAAATGTTTCCCCTTTGGGGAGAAAAAGTATGTCACCCTTCCCTGCAAACTGACACTGTGTTGGCCAGGTTTATGGGTATGTACAGACTTGAGGATATTTATAAACTGTACAGTTAGTTGGAAGAAGCTGTGTTCTGCATGCCCTAAAGGTGTTTATCACCTAGTTGGGAGATATGTTGGACACCCAAAGATTATTGAAAAATCCCAATTCATACTTGATGTTCCACTCTTACCATACATGATATACGTTTTCAAGCAATACTAATATTTTCAAATCCAAATTACATATTTCAGCAACACTTTCTATACTGCCATAAAGCTGGTGTCCATTTCCCAAGTGTGATAACTACCATCTCTGTCTAAAAATTGGGTAATATGGCCACAAAAATACAAAATCTGGGAAAGTTAGTTCAGGATATCTGACCAGTACATATAAACTCATGGCGGGGGGGGGGGGGGGGGGGGGGGGGGAAGGGTGAAAAATTAAATGGAAATGAAACAAGGTAAGAAAATAAGAAATTATCCCAACTAGTTATTCCTTAGCTAAGATACAAGTAAATTTCTTACCTACATCTTGAGGCTTTGTGGACAGGGTTAGGGATTCAGTCAAAAAGAACAAGAAAATAACAAAACCTGTAAGTTTTAACTGTTTCATTTTCTTTTTTTTTTTTTTTTTAGAAATCACATTCACAAAAGAAAGTAATGTAACTGAGGAAGATCAAGTTTTTATATTATTCTTTGACACTATTAGTAAAAAAGTAACCTGTTTAACCTATTTCTCATATACCTCACGTTTGATTTTTATTTGATCACACTGCAGATTTTTTTGCTAATTATTAACTAGGAAAAATTATCTCTGTGTTTTACTGGAAAAATCTATTGAGTTAGAAAAAAAAGTCCACAGGTTAAGTATGCACAATACCTAATCAAATAGACAACCAAAGGAAAAAAAAAAAGTCTTGAAACATTGCAAATGCTAAAGGAAAAAGGACTAGAATAAATAATTTACTAAAGAAGAAGCACAACTAGAAAGATGCTAAGTTTCACTGGAAATCAGAGGAAGTTAAATTTTTTAAAGTATATTTTTATACTTCTGACATAATTAGAAAAAAACAATTAAGATGTCTAATTCAGGTAAACATATAGTAAAAAAAAAGTTTCATATAATCAAGGCTTTTGGAAAACGAGTGTATAATAAGGACCAATAGTCTTAAAAATATTCATACTATTTGAGCCAATCACTCAAATTCTGGGAATCTATACTGAAAGCATGGTCCTTAAATATGGAAATATTTGTAAGTATATGATAAACAGGAAATCTATTTTTTATTTATGTCCACTAAAAGGGCCAGCAACCAAGTAGCAAAGGCATTTAGTGCCCACATTTGGGGGTTCTAAACACTCTTTTCTACTACAAGGATCCTGGGCTTCTTAGAGAAATGAATAGTTTCAGGGCTGGGACATGAAAAGCATAAGATGAGCTGAGAACATGGTGCCAGCAACTGAGGAAGTGCTCAAAAATAGACGGGATCAAGTGCAAAAAAGGCAGAAGACAATGAGACAATTTGACAACATAAATGATGACAGCAATGCATTATCACCCATCACATTCTTTAATAAGAATTTATGGATCTCTACCAATACAAAATTAAAACAAAAGTAAGGAAAGGAAAAGCTCTTCTCTACAAAAGAATGCCAACTAATAAATGTAGTTGGAAGCAAAGCATCACTGTTTGTAACACCATAGTAACACTAAATGGTGAGCTAATCACTCTGCAGGTTACCCTTGGCCTTTATAACTAATGAATATAAGGAATATATAATAACAGGAAATATTTACTACAAAATACTTGGAGAAAGAGTAGAATCTAAAATTGTTTATGTTATGTGTAGAAAGTGCTAACGTGAACAGACCTATTAAACCAAAAGAAAGGGAGAGAGAGAAAGAGAAAAAAAGACTGGGAGGAAGAGAGGAGAGAGAGACAGAAAGAGACGGAGAGACAGAGGGAGAAAGAGAGAAGGAGGAGTGTGTTATGGACAATCAAGAGAGATAAACATACATCAGATTCAAATAGCTATCCATACACTAGGAGAATTCCAAATAGGGCAGACATCCAAATGCAAAAAGGAAAAACAAACATAAAAGTACTCGAAGAAACACAAGTAAAGTGGGAACATTTTTTCTAACTACAGTACAAAATCCAGAAACAGTTATAAAATCAACTACATACAGAGATGTTAAAGACTTCTCATGGAAAAATACTCTAGGCAAAGTCAAAAACACAGAGGAAAACCTGATAAAAGATAGCTGCAATCTATATCATACAAAGAGCTCTGGAAATTTGAGGAGGAAAAAAAAGACCAAAATCTAATAAAAACATAATAAAGTGATCTAAGCAAAGAGTACACAAGGAGAAAAAAAAAAACTAATGGGTTCTAAACATAAAAAAAAAGAGGTTCTCCTAATAAGAGAAATGCACATCTAAAGACCACAGCAGCATTTCTCACCTATATGATTGGCAAAAATCTGTAAGTCTGACAGCTCACTGTGAGGGTAAAACTGTGGGGGAAATAGTTCCTGTCATCCATGGCTGGTGGGAACGCAGATTGGTGGCACAATATTTATGGAAGAGAATTTGGCAATATCTAAAAACATACGCATTTGTCCCCTGAGCCAACAAATTTTCTAATAGGTACTTACCCTAAAAATACACGGCCAATATTTCTAAGTGACTGAAGCACTGGGCTATTCATTGTGGCACTATTTGTAATAGCAAAAGATTGGAAAGGATTCAAATGGCCACCAATAGAAGGTCGGTTAATAGACTATAGCATATCCACACAAAGACATTCTATGAAATTATTTAAAAACATTGAGGAAAAAATATGCGTAATATGGAGTGATTGCCAAGACTATGTTTTCAAGTGAAAAAGGCAAGGTAGAGAACAGTATATGGAATGGGTAACCTCTTATGGAATAAACATAGAGTGGTATAATAGGAATATATTTATATACATATTTGCTGAGATATTAAAAATAAAGAACAGAATGATTAAACTGAGAAGTAAGAAAAGCTATTATTTATAGGAGAAAGGGAAAAGGGGAGACTAGAGTAGAAAGAATAATGTCTAGTCAGTTTGGACTATTATAACAAAATACCATAAACTGGGTGGGTCATAAACAACAGCATTTTATTTCTCACAGTTCAGGAGGCTGGGGTCTATGACAAGGTACCAGTGGGGTCGGGTTCTGGTGAAAGCAGTCACTTGTGGGCCACAGACTTCTGTTTTCTGCTGGTATGAGACCTCATATGGCAGAAAGAAGGTATCAGGGTGATGCTGGCTTCATGGGCTGAACTGGAAAATAATCTCTTTCTCTAATTTTCCGGAGCAGTTTGTGTAAAATAAGTATTATTTCTTCCTTAAATGTTTAGTAGACTTCAATGAACATCAGCCTGAAGTTTTCTTTGTGGGAATGACCTTAACTATATTTCCATTGCTTTCATAGATAAACAATAATCAGATTATCTATTCTTTCAAGGTATTTTCCCATTTCCTTTAAGTTATTTAATTTATTGGCAAAATATTTTTCAAACTAGCCCCTTAGCATTTCAGTAGCTAAGGTGATGTCTCTCTCCTCTCTCATTCCTGATACTGGTAATTTGTCTTTTCTCTTTTTTTTTCCCTGATAAGTCAGGTGGGAAGTTTATCAATATTATTGGTCTCCTCAAAGAACCAACATGAGGTTTCATTTATTTTTATCTATTTTTTTTTCTGTTTTCTATTTTGTTGATTTCTGCTTTGATCTCTATTATTTCCTTTCTTCAACCTACTTTGTTTTAATTTGCTCTTTTTGTTTTTTAAGTTTCTGAAGGTGGAAGCTGGGTTCACTGTTTGAGATCTTCCTTTTTTCTAATATATGTTACCTGAAGATAACAGAGTGCTACAAATTATAAAACAGAGTACCTTTCGTGCTGTAAATTTCCTTTAAGCACTGTTTTACTGGCATCCCACAAATTCTGATATGCTGTGTATTTTCACTCAGTTCAAAATATTTTTTTAATTATTATTTTCAGAGAGTGAGAAAGAGTCACTAGCAGGGAGAGGAGCAGAAGAGAGAGAGAAAGAGAAAGCGAGAATCTTAAGCAGGCTCCACACTCAGCCCAGAGCCTAACATAGGACTCAGTTCCACAACTCTGGGATCATGACCTGAGCCAAAATCAAGAGTTGGACATTCAACCAACTGAGCCACCAAGATGGCCCCTCAAAATATTTTTAAATTCCCTTTTAGTTCCTTCTTTTATTCATGAGTTCTTTAGAAGTGTATTATTTAGCTCATGAGCATTTTGGTATTTCCAGAGATCTTATTATTATCCATTACCAATATAATTCCATACTATCAAGCAATTTTCCGGAATCTCCCTTATCTCTAATTCAGACTGGCCTGTGCTCACCTGCTTTCAACAGTTTGTCATCCCAACAGGAATTTAGGCCTATCTTGATATTCTGCTATGGACAACAGGCAGTCTGGGTTACTGCTTCTGATTTATGGCGATGAGGCAAGCGAGACTTCTTTGCAATTTAGTGTACAGACAAAAGCACGAGTTAAAATCTATCCTCCCTGAACCTTCTTACACTCTTGGTGGGAATGCAAACTGGTGCAGCAACCCTGGAAAACAGTATAGAGATTCCTCAAAAAGTTAAAAATAGAACTACCGTATGATCCAGCAATTGCACTACCAGGTATTTACCCGAAGGATACAAAAATACTAATTCAAAAAAACACATGCACCCTGAAGTTTATAGCAGCATTATCAACAATAACCAAAATATGGGAAGAGCCCAAATGTCCTTGTCTGATGAATGGATAAAGAAGATGTATATATTTTTATACATATAAATATTTATATGTACCTATTATGTATTAGAAATACATATTTATACATATAAATATCCAATATATATATTACTCATTATAAAAAAGAATGAAATCCTTCCATTTGCAATAACGTAGATGGAACTAAAGAGTATTCTGCTAAGCAAAATAAGTCCATCAGAGAAAGATTAATACCATATGATTTCACTCATAAGTGGAATTTACGAAACAAAACAAATGAACAAAGGGGAAAGAAAGAGAGGCAAACCAAGAAACAGATTCTTAACTATAAAGAACAAACTGATGGCTACCAGAGGGGAGGTGGATGGGGGATGAGTTAAATAGGTGATGGGAATTAAGGAGTGCACTTGCTGTGATGAGTACCAGGTGTTGTATGTAAGTGTTGAATCACTGAATTCTACACCTGAAACTAATATTACACTGTATGTGAACTAACTGGAATTTAAATAAAAATATGAAGAATAAATAAATAAATACAATCTATCCCTCCCAATACCTATAAACTCTCATGAAAGATAGCTACCTTGGACTACCACTCACACCATATCTTTTTTCTTCTTTTCTTTTCTTTTTTTTGTTTTTGTTGTTGTTCTTGTTGTTTGTTTGTTTGTTTGTTTTTGTTTGTTTTGAGAGAGAGAGGGAAAGAAAGTGTGCCCATGAGGGAGGGAGAGAATCCTAACCAGGCTCCATGCCCAGCATGGAGCCCAACACAAGGCTCAATCCCACGACCATGAGATCATGACCTGAGCCAAAATCAA